GAATTGTTATCCTATTTTATGTCCATGACGATCTTAACACCTTACGTGTGTCAGCCTGATATTATTCAGGACTAGTGCAAGAGACCCGTGCCCCTTCCAAATCGAGCATACGCACGCACACAGCTTTACTACATCTCAATTTACATAAGGTAATATTCATATAAAATACAAATTTTATTGTAACCTAATTATGTATCATAGTGTATCATATGCAATATAGGTGAATCAACAAATCAACAATGTTTTGCGGCAATTATTGACTCCAAATTGAGATTTTTCCAGTTAAAAAGTTGAAGTATTTTAACACAGTCAACATTATGGATAGAAAAAAAAATTTTGTATGGTGTTTTTACGAGAATAAGCATGAACAAAAAACTTTCACTGACTTAGACGAAAAAAAAAAGACCCCAGAATGACGTCAAAATACGCGAAAATTTTTCATCCTTTAATAGTCAGTTTAGTTTAATTTGTAACGTAAATGTAGGTAGAAAAAAGCAAATGTTGATAAGATAGCGAGGGTCAAAAAGCACTGTTCAGGGACCCCAAATCAGGCTTGCGACCCCACTGAGAAGGTTCGTGGGGTAGTACACGCCGGACCTGATGCTAATCATCATTTCCTTACACAAGTGCGCGACTAGGTGCTCAAATATGACTTTGAGGGTAAAATGGCGTCATCTACGTAAAACACACGTACTTAGATTAAAGTTCTAATTCCATGAGATTCTGTAGACCTTAGGGACTGCATGAGAAGTGTTGGAAGATTATGTTTCACTCGTCTTCAAAATAAGTTCTGCCTTAAAAATCAGCGTTAGAAATTAAACTTGAAGGTTTCACCATAAGATTCTTACGGCGTTTACAGATAATCTTTTCTTTTATATGTACTTCCTAATCACTCAGCACTTAGTGAGGATCGAATTATTTCCAACAGAAAAACACACAGGGCATCAAATTATAATTCATATCGTTCTTTCGTTACTGAGTAAGTTAGCGCGTTCATTACACCTTGCCATTACCCTAGATAAATAATGAACCATTCCGTTTTAACTGCGAGGAAAGACGAAAGAAAAGTATAACAGAAAGCGTTTGGCCTTATTGAGAAAAAAAGAAAGCATACATGATAATAATAAGAAGAAAGAAAGAAAGAAAGAAAGAAGAAAAAGAAAGAAAGAAAGAAAGAAAGAAAGAAGAAAAAGAAAGAAAGAAAGAAAGAAAGAAAAAGAAAAAAGAAAGAAAGAAAGAAGGAAAGAAAGAAAGAGAAAAAGAAGAGGAATAAGGAAAAAAAGAAAGCGTGGAAAGACAGAATAAAATATTTCAGAGAGACTGTTTGGCTTTAGTGAGCAACAGAAAGAATTCATAAAAATGAAAAAGAAAGAAAGAAAGAAATAAAAAAAGAAAGAAATAAAAAAAGAAAGAAAGAAAGAAAAAGAAAAAAGAAAGAAAGACAGAAAGAAAATCTTTTCATTGTTTCGTTTTCTACGTCTTATCAACCCTTTGCAGATTATTTAAAACCAGAAAATATTTTTGGATTGTAAGAACATTTTTTGAGATAAAAATGGTTTAGTGATACAAGTTTTACTAATTAACCCCTAGCTTGGGGGGAGAAGAGATGTATTTATACCTTTCTCAGGAGCATTTGCGCGTAAATGAATATAACGAACCTAAAAGGAATTTGGAACTCGGCTCTCCAATAAAAAATTCCAAGACATCCAGGCATACAGCAACTGCAAGTGGTCACCTATCAAGGTACTGACCAGACTCAACATGATGTGACCGTAAGCTGAACGAGAGAAAGTTTGTTTGGTTGATTTTGTTTAATGGCATATCAACCTCTATGGGTTATTTAATACGAAAATCTAAATATTTTTAACACAGTTTTATGCTTTCAGCTGTAAAATGTATTGTTAGTCACTTAGGCATAAAATGTATTGTTGGTCACTTAGGCATAAAATGTATTGTTGGTAAATGATTTATCTATAAAAAAGTGTGTGTGTGTGTGTGTGTGTGTGTGTGTGTGTGTGTGTGTGTGTTTAACGAAAACAAAAAAATTTTCGACGGATTTGCACCAAAAATTTACATTTGCACATGTTCCAAGTTAGCGGGAACCCCAAGACCGACTTTTAAGTTTCCCAATTCCCATCGATAGTGGAAATAATCGATTTTTCATGCTTCTACGGCAGTTTTCATGTAGTTTGCGGCCATTTTTACTGGCCAGAGTGAGAACCTATAGCTGGCTGCCATGAATAGGCAGGAAGATTCTATTGGCCAGCGTTTGAGAACCAATAGCTGACTGATACGAATATTAAAATAGCATGCATGCTAGCAAAAAAAAAAAAAAAATCGATAGCTGCATTCGTCACAAGTGGGAAAAATTTAAATCTGCATGGCACTTTACTCCAATTGGTTCATTCGCTTGCTTAAACTCAACGTTGATTCTGATTCCGCAGAACTGGGTTTGATATGAAAAAGTATTTGTTGTTAACATTTTTTTTCTTCATTCGGTATTTCCAGTTACGAGTCCTTTTTTAAAGCTGATCGTTTTTGTGTTCATTTTGTTTAGTTTTTTTTTCATAACAGATTTAATGTTTAGTATAGAGCTTAAAAAAAATTCGCAGTGTGAGATAGGCAAGAAGTAAGGTATGTAGCAACATCAGCACAGCAAAGGGCACTCCTTTTAAAGGCAAGGAAGGGCAAAAATATTTTAAGCCACATGATAGCGATTCAAATGAGTCGTACGATTTTTGAATCAAGCACGGGCAACGCGAGGCCATGCTGCTAGTCTATTATAAGATGTATTGCTGGTCCATTTTGTTTTTTAAAAATATATTGACGGTATTTTTTATATATAAAAATGTATTGCTGGCATCTTCACCATAAAAATGTATTTTTATATTTTCATGTTTTTTTTTTTTTTTTTTTGAGGGTGCACTATTTGCCGTTAGCTGGGATCCTGACAGGTGCTATCAGAACGGGCCTGGGTGAACCTGGGAATAACAGCAATTAAGAGGCGGCTCTACTTTCCTCACAATCTCTAATATCCCGATCAGAGGCATTGCTGCCGGATGTAATTTATCGTCATACCCAAGACTAAAGAGAGAAAAGGTAGATAGAGGAGGCGATAACGCACTCATGCATTGAACGTCTGCTTCAATGAAATGGAAAAACTTGTTGATCATTAATCTTTTCATTCGTAGCATTTTTTTTAATAACTTATGATTGTTATTGCTATAATTTGTCAAATTTGTTAAGCCGAAAAATTTAACGATGCAATAGACGAATTTCGAAGTGTATTTTTGTTGAAATCTAAGGAAGGTTACTGAATCGAATAATTTTAAAGATTGGTAATGAATGATAATACTTAGGACAAGAACAACACATAAATATAATTTATTATCAGTTATAAGTAGTAGTAGTAGTCAACTATTTTTAGAAGTGAGTCATATAAAAATTTTCAAAAAGTAGCTGTTTCCCGAGACGAGACTCTGCCCTTCGACATATCCTCGTCTGGGGATCCTCTCTACCCGGAGGCAGGGAGTTTGACCAGCACAGAATATCTACCAACCGCGCCACGCGGTCAAATGTGGCATAAGACCGAATTTAATTTGGGGTATCCGAGCCCGTATGCGTGGCCAAAAATTCACCGTAGACGAATCTTCAACTGCAGACCAACATACAGTATTTACTACTGTATTTATGTGAATTGGGACATACCCATTTTCGTCTGTAGGTATTTTAGTCGTGGAATTTGCAAGGCGCCTATTCACTCATTGTTATGGGATCTTACCCATAATAATAATAATGGACTATTCCATACTTAATAAATACTGCGCCTCAGGAGTAGTTCAAAGTCACTCGCATCATTTTCTGAGCGACTGTTCGGTTAAACTAATAAAATATATTCGGGAGGAACCCGAAGGAGGCTATAACGAAGGGCGGATTCTCCGAATAATTAAGTAATCTTTAATCTTAAGGCCCAGAACCCGTATTTATAATGGTTCAAATTTTATTTTTGGAAGCCTAATGGCTCGGGAATTTATTTTTTAAAAAGGGTAATTCCAATGCCATAAAATGACTTTTTTTTTTTTTATATTCATTTTGAATTAATTCCAATTTTTTGCTACTTTCTGAGCGACTGTTGTTTTTAAACTCTCTTTTATATAGGAGGAACCCGAAGGAGGCTTACGCCGAAGGGCGGAGTCTTTTTTAAGTATTTTAGACCCAGAATTTTTTATACGGGTTCAAATGGGTTATATTTTTTGGCCGAGCCTAATGGCTCGGGAATGCCGACGTTAAAAAATATAAATGCCACATGACACAATGGGGGTGAATGAATATCGTCAGTCGTTCACTTTCTGAGCGACTGTTCGGTTTAAACTTCTCTTCAAAAAACGGGCGGAGGAATTTGAAAAAGGCTACGCCGAAAATTGAAAATTTAATCTCTTTCGGAGAGGTAAAATTTGGTCAAAATGAACCTGTTTATAAAAAAATTCAAATGGGCTCTTTTTTAAAAAAAGCCTAATTTTGGGAATTAAAACGTTAAAATATTTTGCAAAAACATGAACATTTTGTGGGTTGTTTGAATATCGTCATATAAGTCGTTCTTTTCTGAATCGACTGTTCGGTTAAATAATCTTCATACGGGCGGAAGGAACAAAAAAGGAGGCTACGCCGAAGGGTGGAGTCTCCTTTTAGGTAAAAAAAATTCCTTATATTGAACCCGTTTATACGGGTTCAAATGACAAATTTTTTTTTTACATTAATTAATTAAAGCAAATATAAAATGGCTCGGGAAATTTTCCATAAACGTTAAAAAGGCTATTTTTCATATGACACCCAATCTTTAATGACTTTCAATTGTCATCGCTCACTTTCAATGAGCGACTGTTGGTTAAAAACTCTCTTCCTACAAAAAAAAAATGGAGGAACCCGATATCATATAGGAATATTACGCCGAAGGGCGGATATTATTTTCATAACTATAAATTGGCCCAGAACCCGTTTATACGGAATTTCAAATGGTATTTTTAATGAGCAAAACATTTTCGGGAATGCCGACGTTAAAAACATTTAATTGCCACATGACACATCTCATACAAATTAAAAATATGAATATCGCCAGTCGTTCATTTTTCTGAGCGACTGTTCGGTTTAATTTCTTCCTACGGGCGGGAGGAATTAGAAGGATAATACGCCGAAGGGTGGAGTCTCCTTCGGGGAGGTAAAACCGTTTTTTTTAACCTGTTTATATGGGGGTTCAAATGTGCTACTTTTTGCCGACCTCATGGCTTTGGGAAAATGCCCACGTAAAAAGGCCTTGATCACACAAATGACACCCTCGTGGGGGGGCGGTGACTGAATATCGTCAGTTGTTAACTATTTGAACCGACTGTTCGGATTTGAACTCTCTGCCTTCGGGCGGGGAGGAACCCGAACGAGGCTACGCCAAAAGGATGGGGTCTCGTTAAACAGTTAAATGGCATGAGCCCGTTTATACGGGTTCAATGGGAATATTTTTGGCTGGATTTTGGGCCGGAGAACCCACAATAAATAACCGAAAAGATGAATAACATGATTCCCCAAGGGGGGTGACTGAATATCGAGTCAGTCGTTCAATTTTGAACCGACTGTTCGGTTGAACTCTCTGATTTCGGGCGGGGAGGAACCCAAACGAGGCTACGCCGAGGGGCGGAATCTCGTTCGGGGAGGTAAACCGACCCTGAACCCGTTTATACGGGTTCAATGGGCATATTTTTGGCCGAGCCCACGGGCTCGGAGATCCCACGTTAAACCGGTCTTGTGCCACATGATGCCCTCGTGGGGAGTGACTAAATACCGTTCATGTCTCGACCGGCTGATCGGTTGAACTCTCTGCCTTCGGACAGGCAGGAACCCGAAAGAGGCTACGCCGAAGGGCGGATTCTCTTTCGGGGAGGTAAACCGACCCTGAACCCGTTTATACGGGTTCAATGGGCATATTTTTTGGCCGAGCCCACAGGCTCGGAGAGATCCCGTAATCGGAGATGGACTAAACCGGCCTTTTGATAAATCGTGGGGGTGGGGGTGACTGAATATCGTCAGTAGTTCAAGTCGAGTCAAGAGTCGAGTCAGAGGCAGCCCGAAACAGAGTCGCGTTCAGACAATTACTGCAAGACATTGGAATAGTGTTACTGGTCGAGACTACATTGTTCTCTCTACTAAACCTGATTGTTCATACTAACACTTCTACTTCTCTGTATATATTCCTGTTTGTAATATATCTGTGTTATTCAATACCTGTGTTCGAGTTCTTCTTTATTGGTTCTACCTTGGACTATCACCGTGGTACAAGGAACCGGACCATAACACTTATTAAGAACCTTGATTCATTAGAAAATGTAACGAGGAAAACCGTAACATTTTCCAGTCTTAGTTATGTCATCTACTAATTCTATCAGTTTTTCCTTTTTCGAAAGTTTTTTTTTCTTTTACAAGATCACTATGGCGACGCTCCTGGGTAAGTTAACATATGTTACCTGTGATTGTTTTATTTATTATGTTTACTTAGACTGTATCATTCGATAACACTGTAAATCTGATTATGAAAAAATATAAATTAAATCAATGTCGTTACTATAGTTTCATTCGAAGCACTTCTCATAGCTGTGTTCACAATAACCCCAGAAGTTTTAAGAAAATTTGGTTTGTATATATTCGACTCTGCCGTCGTATTCGACATATGAGGGTCAAGCAGATCAGATCCAAGGAAACGACAGCCACACACCAAAACATATTTGATTATAGTGGTGAAGATTTTTTGCAGAACCACCCACACTTTATGAAGGGCCGAATACGAAGACCTGGTGCACTACGTGCCACAAGGTCCCCCAAACAACCCTCCGCAGTTTTTGAACTCAGTGATGTCCTTCTCCTAGACCAGTTGGTGTCCAAAGCTATAGAACCTAGTCTGTTCTGCTATTTGCCCATAGCTGGAGAGAGAAGTTTCATACCATTCGCAATGGTATTAAGCGCGAAAGGGAATATAGTGCATCCGATTCATCAGTCCAAGCCGTTATCTATTACTTTACTGTGCCTCCATATATATATATATATATATATATATATATATATATATATACAGGCTGTTCATAACAAATCTGAGGAATTAACAAAGAATATTACAAAAGCAAATGAACAGAAATATGTGGAAATTGTTACAAAATGAGGGGTAGATATTAGGTTTTTTTAACAAATTTAATCCCCCCTCTATGGGGGAACCATTAGTTGCACGAAGCACATCAAGATGGTAGTCGATTACTTGCCATGTTCACTGTAGCATAGCCTCATCAATGGTGGCAATGAAATAAGTGATCTTTTGCTTTAAATCAGTGATATCCCGTATCTTTGTTTGATACGCGATATCGTTAACATAACCCCATTGGAAGAAGTTCTGTAGTTTGGCTGAGTCTGTGTATCTGATTTTGTTTCAATAAACTATGACACACATTGTGCATTTTCTTGAGGTGTAGCCATTTTTAAGGGTTCATTTAACAGTATCTCTTTCATCAACATGAAACTTGAAATACACAAATGCAATATATATATATATATATATATAAAATCTTTGATAATTACTGAGTACATAAAACAATTCTGATTAAGTTATATAATCACTTGCCTTTGTAATATATTTTTTAAATTGTAAAGAGACTTTATGGCCACTCTGTATATCTATATAAGTGTACACTGAGGTCAACACTATGCTTCAATGCAATCTTCAGGTTTGAAGATTGCATTGACGCATAAAACAGACTGCCGCCTTTTTTGCTGGCAGACACATTCATATATACATTTATATATATATATATATATATATATATATATATATATTCACACACACACACACACACATATATATATATATATCGAATCTCCGTCGCGTTCGACGTATGAGGGAAAGGCCGATAAGTCCCAGGAAACCAACATCCCGACACCGGCACATGAGATTTGTTTATAGTGGTGAAGGCCTTGTGCAGGACCAGTCTTTACACTTTTGGAGGGACGAATACAGAAACCTGGTGCACTGAATACATGCCACAAGGTTCCAAAAACGACCCTCCGCAGGTTTTGAATTCAGAGTTGTCCTTACATTAGACCAGTTGCCATCCAATATTATAGATAAAAGTCTGTCCTGCTATTTTACCCATAGCTGGAGGGAGATGAAAGGATACATACCTTTCCTTTCGTATATATATATATATATATATATATATATATATATATATATATATATATATATGTATATATATATATGTTGATTGAAACTCCTTCATTGATTAACCGTTCGTGAATATGTTGTTGACTTTTCAGTCCTGACACCTTAGAGCAGATTTAGCACTCATGACTATTAGCGTTGGTTAAGACGACAGACACGGTGTTGGCATCACTGTGACCTTTCATGTAACGCTTAAGACCACCAACTGATCGGCAAACTCTAGAGCAGTGCAAGCATGAAAAGTTTCCATCCTGAGACTCAATGCGCATCGTGCGAGGGACAAGTGTAGTTGGATTGCTTTCATGCGTTTTCATGTGATTAACCAGGCCTGTCTTTGACAGCAGTTTCCGACCGCATTCTTCACAGATCCATGCTCTCTTGAGTTTTGCCCGGTCTGCTCTGGCTGCTTCAAAACGTTCAGCACCCTTGAATATCAAAGTGCTCCACTGGCTACGATCAGATGGTAGGAACACCAAAATACACTAAACTTTCTTTGACACTATCTCCAGACCGATTTTTGCCAGAAAGAAGCTCACCATAAAACAACTGATTTGGAAGTCTGGAGTCATCAAACCGAACTGTCCAGCTTAACGCATCTGGTTCCTAACCACAATTGTAGCAATGCTGACTGTTTTAACTTTGGTCAAGATATCTGTATCTGCCCCACTTCAGACCAAGAATATATCTGAGGCAGTGCTGATGGAATCTTTCACGCTGTTTTATATGATATTTATACATGGTCAGGTTTCAGAGGCATAGAGTAAAGCTGACAACATATGTGCTTGACAGAGACACTTTAGTTGCCAGAGTTAGATAACTATCCAACCTAACACCTTCTAGCTTAACAAAAGACCGAGATGCTTATCCCTTGTTTGATTTCTGTATCAAGGGAGCCATCATTAGATAATGTACTACTAAAGTAGACAAACTTTTGACGATTTCAAGACGCTTCCCATAGACAAAGATATCAGGTTCCAAGTAAAGATCGCCAGAAGCGGAAGTGTACATGACTTTGGTATTCTTAATGCTGATTGTCGGTCCAATGCACGTACAAACATTAGCAAAGCAGTCCATCACTGACTGCATTTCTCCTGGAAAGTGCGCCACTAACTTGGCACCGTCGGCATATAGAAGCTCCCTAACAAATTCGTCACTAACATGGCTTCTGGCTTGGAATTTTCTAAAGTTGAAAACTTTTCCAGGTGTTCAGTATATTATATATAGGCACCTGTATCCCAGTCATGGAATGTATACCAGAGTACTGCCGTCAGGTAAAGTGAGAACAATGTTAGTACAGGTATATCACCCTGCTTTAGTCCATTATCGATGGGAAGTTCCTCCGAGAGTTAACCATTGAATTTGACCTCTCATACAGCGATGTAGTTGCTTGAACTTTTCAATAAAAGATGTACAGCCAAATTTTCCGAGCACCTTTCACAGCGCGTCAGGATTCACTGTAACGAAAGCTTTAGTTAGGTCAACAAAAACCTAACAAAATAACACATGCTGGTGAATACATTTTTCTCCAAGCTGTTTAGCAGTGAATATCATGTCTACAGTCCTTCTACTAAAACTAGACTGGGACTCAGGAAGGACATCAGGACAAATATACTTTTCCAATCGGTTTAGCATGAGTTTTTCAAACACTGCAACTGCTTCGGACTGCTTCTAGCAGTGAAATACCACGTTAAATACCACAGTTTGAATTCTTCCCCTTTCCTTCGTACGGCATAATCAGAATGGCATCTATCC